TGATACTTAGTGTCAGATGGACTTGCAAAGTCAACACTTCACGACCTCAAAGTCCATCTACCTCTATCGCAACCACCCTAGAGTTTGCCATCTACCATGGGTAATTCAACACCCGCAGAGCCCGCTCCTGCCTACGAGGACTTATTTCACGAGCGCGGTTCCAGCTCACGGAATGGTGTAAGAAAATCACTCCGGAAGGGAGGGGTGGATGTTCCCAGTGTACTAATCTATCTACCTAAATACACAGTATACTATGGTCGGCCAAGTAGACGATACCGATGCACACCGAGATGTGGAACAGGGTCACCACCTGCATCACGTCCCTACCCCTATCGCAGTGACCGGTGATGAGCCGAATCAACACATCCATTGTGCAGAATGTGATCGGCAGCGGGAGCGCAAAGAGAGAAGGGAGAGTTCACAGAAAGCATGTGGCATGGTTGCGACGACATTTATCCTGATCTTTCTGTTCATGATGGTAGTAGGAATTGTTGGTATTATGGCATGGAGGGACATTCGTTTGAAAAAGTTTCATGGTTAGATTGGTTGGATTGAACATGAACAGGTATCATATCATACCATATTCAAACTGTAAAGGGGTATGCGACAGAGCCTAGGCATCGCCCTGATTAATATCAGCTAGGATAGATGAATGCCACGCCAAGAGCATTCTTGCTATTTTTCTTAGCCACAGTACACCCTGTGGTGATAGTAGCTCGTAGAGATTCTCGTTTGCAATCATGAGAAGGTAGTCTATAGGATAAATTCTACGGCAAATTACCAAAACCACCATGTTTACGCCCGTGTTCTTTTAGGGATAGATAAAAGAAGCCACTTCGCTTAGAACTAGACCTTATTATGCCCCTTCTATATTTCTTCAATTAAGATGACTTCGGTTAGTAGCAAAAATGTATCGAATTATAAGACCTGTGTTAAACTCGCTATGGTAGGCCATGTCTAGTAATTTTCCATATAGCTTTGTGATTGCCTAAAAGTAGTCTCTCTAGATGATACGACTGTCACAGATAAACTATGTGCGCTAGATTCTAACTCTTTCTAGTTAATGATTAGACTAAGGAATAGAACAATAAATCTAAAGCGTTGTTCTAAACCTAAAGCCCGCTGCGAGTGTTGCAGAAGTCTATTAAGAGAAACATCTATCGTCTAGGCGTTTACAGGATTAACGAGGGTTCCGGTAGACTCTATGAATCAATCAAATTGCGGTTATGCTAGTTAAAGATCGAAAAATAGCTACTACAAGGTCTCGAGGAGACTTTGTTGAACTCTAAAAGCCACTCTCTGGCACAGCATATAGTGCTACATTGATGTACATCGTCGACGGTGCACTTCGAGGCAGATCCTCCAGCTTCGAGGGTACAATAAATTCCGGCACGTTGCCTGGGGGATAGCTCACCCTAGATACCCCTGTCTCCAGAGATTTTAACGCCGAAGGAGCGTATGGTAGGTGTAGGAAGAAAATATCATTACAGGGTGGTTTGTTGTTTGGGGGGGATGCTAGGCGCCAAAAAATGCGGGGTATGTCGCAGGACTTCATAAAGGAATGGTAGCTCCACCTTGTGGCCCCCGATAAACAGCCAAACCACCCTTTTAGATTCCGTACAAGGAACATTAACATCAACACCTCTCTCTACTCCGTACTACTACTCTCTACGCGCTTCGCCTGAGTCATTCCTAGGTAATTCAAAATCTCCCTGAACCCACGTTCTATCTGATCACTCTTCCCTATGGCGCTACTTGTCCCGACTTCATCACTGGGGTATAAACGGATAACCAACTTCCCCCTTGGCAGGTATCAATTCAGAATCAGCCCCAAGATGTTTGTCTGGCTCAAAAGCTTGTTCGCCAAGTCAGGGTCCTCTGACCCTTCAAAGCATACCGAGAAGCCCAAGCATAGAGGCAGGTCGCATGGCCGATCCCATAGCAGAAGAGTTCGAGAGCGGGAGCGGGAGCTGCGACGAGATTGGACGGGTCAGAAAGGTGAATGGAGAAAATTTTATAGTAGGGGGGGTTTTGTCGGAATTTGTTGAAGGTGCTGTGTTTCTTTGTGTTTCTTACGGGAGTATACCTCCCACCCCTTAATAGCTAGAATCATCTCGTCTAGTTTTACTACGAGCTGTGTACTCTTTGCTTCACTGCTTTCCACATCATTCATGGAGCGAACTTGATCTTATTAAATAAATTTGGTATTGAATATTAAGATTGAATATCAACACTGTAGTACACAAGACGATCCAAAACAAACAAACACCCTGCAATCTAACGTGATAAGAAAAAAAAATCAAACAAGGAAAAACATTGAACCATCAAGTCATAATAGATGCTTCTGTGCAGAAATTTTGCAAACCCATCTAAGCAGAACCAAGGTACTTGAGCACAATCTCACGTTCCTCAACAGGCAACATAGAGAGCACCTGTTGTACACCACGCAGACCACCCTCCTTGTTGCCAATAAGCAGCTGGGCAACCTCAGACGCAACGCCATCAGTGCGCAGCGACTCAATCTTGGTCTGAATAACCTTCTTGTTCTCCTCGTACCAGGTAGCAACCTTTTGGTCATTGTGCTCGAGCTCCTCGCCCAGGAGACCAGTCCAGGCGTGCAGGGTGCGGAGGTGCGCGGTACGAAGTGATTCGCCGAAAACCTTGGCGCCGGGGGCTGGGGGCGCGGAGGCGGCGAGCATACGCTTGACGATAGTTTCTTCGCTGAGACGGCGGCGCAGGCGCCAGTAGAAGAAGCGGCGGGAGTTGACCCACTGCAGAGGCTTACGGATGGTGTTCTTGGCTTGCATGCGGCCAGCACGGTCGTGCAGGTCAGCGAATTGAAGCGCAATCTGCATATACACAGGCAGGAGCAGCTCCTCGCGAGCGGCCATTTTCGCC